CGTCCGCGGCATATTTGCTCGGATCTGACTGGCTACCCGTTCACACATCTGGTTCACAAGCCTTTGCTTTAAAAAATATGTAGTTTATAGGACTCTTTAATTTTTTTTAAAATATACTTTAAATTAAGTTAAATCATTTTAAAAAAACACAATACCAACTTTACTGTAGACCAGGGGTCTCCAAACTACGGCCCGCGGGCCAGATGCGGCCCGCGAAGTCCTCTCATCCGGCCCGCGGAGATCTTTTTGTCCAAGGAAAAATCGTTTGTTGATGATGGCTGAGGAAGTTTGCCCAGAAAAATCAAATACATGCCTGGAAGAAACTGGCCCCCGAACTGAAATTTGATGGGTAATGCGGCCCTCGGACTGAAAAGTTTGGAGACCCCTGCTGTAGACGGATTTTCCTATAAGCTAAATCAGGTAAAGCTTAGGACCCCCGGTGTCTTGGGGTGTCCTAAAGGTGTTTTGTAAACCGTGGTGGGCATGTTGTCATCAAATATATTTCAACATTTATTTAGATCTATATTTTTTTTTAGGTTCGTTTTACCTAGTTTTTCCCGCCCTAAAATACTCTGTGAATTATCAATGTTTGAGCTAAGCTTTCATATTTCACCTCCGTCGTCTCTCTCTGGATAATGGTCTTCTTTATTTTTTTTTTGGTTGAGTCAACGCTCTCACTCATCCCGTGATTAACTAGTTTCATCAAGTCGCCTCCAGCTAACACTCTCATTAACACGGCAGCCTTAGAAGATGAGCAGTAAAAAAAAACAACGCAACTACCGGCTACCGCTGTTCCCAGTTTTGATGATGTAAAAAATGTACGGCTTAACATGGGCGCTAATCAGGAGGAAAATGTATGCATTATTTACAGTTTATTAACTCTCCAGCCATGTTACTAATTACCCTCTGTGGCGTCTGTTAATCAATCTTGAGCATTCCTCGGGAAATCCCTTTCCATTAACCTTTTCTTGAAGGAACATGCTACATTAGGGATGTGAATATCGGGGTACCACTAGCAAGGACAATGAGATAGCTCTCTATATCTTCAATGGCTGGTTACATTTAAAGAAGCTCAGCCTTAATAACATGAAAGTATTGTAAAGATGATCATCCGTACGAAACTTATCAACATTTCGATCATGTGTCTAGGTAAACAAAAAAAGTATATAATTAGCAGCTGTTGTTAGGTGGATCATTTTTATTTGCAGTGCAACTCATTCAGAGCAATACGGTGAGGTGTAATAATGAAAGTTTGCGTGTAGTAGACGGGATCCAAATCCTAAGTCCAAAGTTCATACTCCGGGGCAAATGACGCCCGTTAGCTGGGGGCCAGCAAGCCTATTTAAAAAGCCATATAACAGACCAGCTACGCCATAAAAAAACAACTAACTGACCACGTCATCCCATAAAAACCATCTCACTGACCAGCTATCCCCAAAAAAAACCATATAACTGACCAGCTATCCCAAAAAATAACCATCTTACTGACCAGCTATCCCAAAAAAACCCACCTCACTGGTCAGCTATCCCATAAAAAAAAACATCTAACTTAAAATTGCGAGGAGGTTTTTTCCCCTCCCCGTCAGCTCTTCAAATAGCAGTCATACGCCACTCAGTTCCTATTTGCTTAAAGCCAGAGAGCTGAGGGACGCACCAGAACCAATTCTAGAGTATTTACCCACTGTCCCTCTTCACGTCCGTGGTAACTGGTCCAAGAAAGTGATGACGATTCTATCAGACGACCCCCCCCCCTCCCACACGCGATGGGCTACCCCAGCAAAATGGCGGCATCGACAGCTAAGTCTTGTGGGGATCGTCTGCTGATTCAAACGTCATTTGTAAATTGGCGGTGATTGGCGCGTATCGACGCGGGTCTACAGTGTGACCTGACCTTGAACTTGCAGTCCTGTGGTGCCCTTGGTTTATTTTCCTGCTGGTGTGTTGGGGTCAGTATGGTGGTCCTTGATTGGTGGACACCAAATAACAGCACCACCCAGACTAGAACATCAACTCGATCAGTTCCTTCTTGGCGTTTCTTCGTTTATCAAAAAAAGTCTACCGCCCCCCCCCCCCCCCCAAAATCCCCCCCCCCTCTCGGAGGTAAAAGTCTGGGAGAAACACTGAACTCGATACTTTCGGTTTAGCCTTATAACCAGCATTCACAATCACATCGTTGAGCATAGCTATCCAAACTGTATTGTAACTATAAACATTTTTTTGCCTCAGCTGTACATCTGCTTAGGCTTCTGTTTTACCCCTTATGAATATATCATTATAACTTATGTAATGTGTTACGAGTATGTTTTTTTTTTAGTCACTAAAGAGTTTTTTTTTTACCTGCTTGCGCTATTGTCATATAAACTCAACAGTGATTAAAGTGTTAAATGCTGCATTTGCTTAGTATTTCCTAGAACTCCGGAAAAGGGTAACAAGGATATCCTAACCAGTGTTTCAGACTTTTTTCTCCGGGGGGACAGTTTGAAGAGATGCCCGAAAGAAACTCTGGTCCTAACCGATGCTATAACCGTTGCCTCCTTTTACTCAATCCTGAGACCTGGCCCATATTATAACCATTACAAGATAACCCGTAGTAAAATCCTCAGTACAATAAACTAATGCCCCGTTGACGTTCTTGGAATATTTTTTCACTGCACCGCTACTAGATGGGGGCATCAAATGTTTGAATGGGGTGATTGGGGGATTTAGCTCAAATATAACTTCGGCACGGACATGTGGATAAATATTTTTTTTAAAACCCCATTCAGGAAAATCGAACGTTTTAGTCAATACATCCAGACTTGCCAGTGTTTTCTATTTCGTGTAAGCCAAACGAGGTTCCCAGATTTAGCAGTCGAATGAAACGGGTGGGGCTTTTTGAAAACTTAAATGACGCCAAAATAAATGGAACACCGAACTGAAATAGGTTGTGAAACGGTACACTTGTGTTTAGATTTTCATCTACTCTGGTACAAGCAGTTTGTTAGGTGGTTATATCTTTTGTATAAACAGTTAGGTGGGGGGTTGTCTTTTTGTATAAACAGTTAGGTGGGTGGTTGTCTTTTGTGTAAGCAGTTTTTCGGTGGTTGTCTTGAGTGTCAGAAGTTTTTCGGTGGTTTTCTTTTGTGTAAGCAGTTTTTCGGTGGTTGTCTTAGATTAGATCTGTCTAGTTCTATTCCATGAATGCTTTCTACCGTGGTATTATGTTTCGTGTTAGCCATTTTTTATGAATGAAAATGTTCTGTATTTGGCTTATGCTAATCCCATTTTTTATGAATGAAAATGAAAAAATTTAAGCCCATGTTTCATCAGTAAATACCTTCTATCGTTGACTAATATTCAACGCAAGATTAGAAAGTTTGTGTGTTCTCATAGACCCCTAGCAGCCCAAATAAAAACGCATTTGATTTATTTTAGTGTTGCTTATCTCTGGGCCTACTTCGCCAGAGCTTGAGCTGCGTAGGGAGACATTGTTTTTATTGTTTGTTTACCCGAGCTGTGTTATTCAATCTCCGGGGCAATAAGATTTCCCGGTGACAGAGTTGAGACGGACAGACGCCAATTTCCAATTTGATTAATTTTTTTTTTCTGGTCCAATGCGTGGCGGGAAGTCACTCTGTCATTCTTCTCTCATCAGCGGCCGCATATGTCATTAATTATTTCTGACGTGGTCTGGTGGGGGTAAAGTTTTTGGTGGGGGTGGGGCAGAGTTGGGGGTGTGGTGGGGCAGAGTTGGGGGGCAGAGTTTGGGGTGGAGGGGCAGAGTTGGGGGGCGCAGTTGGGGGGGGCAGAGTTGGGGAGGGGGCAGAGTTTGGGGTGTAGGGGCAGAGTTTGGGGGGGGCAGGGTTGGGGGTGTGATGGGGCAGAGTTGTGGGGGACAGGGTTGGGGGGTCGCAGAATTGGAGTGGGTGCAGAGTTGGGGGGGGGGGCAGAGACTTGTAGGGGGTGTGGGGGACAGAGTTGGGGGGTCGCAGAGTTGGAGTGGGGCAGAGTTGGGGGTGGAAGGGGGTTTGTATACCCATCAAATTAAGATTGTTGATTTTGTTTGTTGAGGGATGCTCGTGACTCCTAAACAGAGAATTTTAAAAATATTTTTCCTGTTCCTTACCGGCGTTCAATCTACAGTTTCTTTACGATAAACATTAGGGTGATCACGAGAAGACCAGTCTCCAGACAATGTTTATGCTTGCGATGTATCATTTCGGAACTGGCGGTCCATGGTGCAGATAAAGTTGAATTCATCTATTTCTGTGGACTCATGTCCAGCCGACTTTACATTTTCCCTAGCGTGAGTCAGGTACCTATCAGAGCTGGGTTGACACAGGGTTACTCAATGGACTCGAGTCCGGGATCCAAACTCCAGGCTGTCATGTTAATGGGCATGCTCTACTATCCGACCAAGACGCCCAATGTGTGTTCGCGATGTAAGCCCATCAAAATTTACAATCGTTTAGTGAACTAAACAAAACAAAATTTAAAATGGTTCAGACCTTTTGTAGTTGTACTTTCTTCCTCCATTGTGCTCAGTCTATTTTTCGTTTCTATTTAGCTAATTCATTCATGTTCGTGTCGCGTTATGTTTAAAGAGTAAGCAGCTAGACTGAGTGTAACACTTTGAGCATCGTCCATAAATGACGTTATAATAATGTGATAAGCTAGACTAACGGTTTTATTTTATTTTTATTTTTTGAATGGCTAATGAAGTGAGTCGACGGTCACGTGATGTAGGGGTGGGGGTTAAGTGTCTGGCTTCGAGTCTAATTTTTACCATAGTCGGATGGAGGAAACAATATGCTAAAAATTGTCTGGCGTCTTGTATGAACCATCACGCACATACCTCTAAACTCTTGCCAGATAAAAATTTTAGTATGTCATCCACAACCATCCATATACATCTAAACTCTTGCCAGATAAAAATTTTAGTATGTCATCCACAACCATCCACATACATCTAAACTCTTGCCAGATAAAAATTTTAGTATGTCATGTTTTATTTTCCCTAGGTGTGGAAGCGGTCTGGCGCCTGGTTCTTTAAAGGGATCCCCAAGTACACTCTACCGGAGAAGAAAAACGAGACCTCCAAGTACCCGATGCGCATGCGGCCTTCACCCCGAGGCTCGCTGAAGGGACGTCCTGCGGGCTCCCCCTCTCCCAGGGACTCATACACCTGGCACAAGGCCCGGGGTAGTGCCAGCACCGGGGTCTCGTGTAAGCTGGTTACACTATTTTACTCATTCGGTATTTTAATCATGCAATGGTGTGGTTATTTTTAAAAATTCAACTTTTTACATTGCTCAAATGTATATGCTGTTTTCCAGAACTATATAAATTATTTTATTCCTTGATCTTTTTAATATCTTAGATGTTTCTCAAGCTGGTTATTTTAGAACTTTAAAAATAGTCGAAGTTCTGTACCCGTCTCACTTTTATAAAGACCAATGCTTAAGCTGATTAAATAACTATAAAATTATTATTAATTAATATTACCAACCCTCCACAACCAGCCACAAACCAACCCTCCACAACCACCCAGTAACCAACTCTCCACAACTATCCACAAACCAACTCTCCACAACCATCCACAAACCAACCCTCCACAACCAGCCACTAACCAACCTTCTACCCTCCACAACCGTCCACTAACCAACCCTCCACAACCACCCAGTAACCAACCATCCACAACCATCCACTAACCAACCCTCTACCCCTCCACAACCATCCACTAACCAACCCTCCACAACCACCCAGTAACCAACCATCCACAACCATCCACTAACCAACCCTCTACCCCTCCACAACCATCCACTAACCAACCATCCACTAACCAACCCTCCACAACCAGCCACTAACCAACCCTCCACAACCAGCCACTAACCAACCCTCCACTAACCAACCCTCCACAACCAGCCACTAACCAACCCTCCACAACCAGCCACTAACCAACCCTCCACAACCACCCACTAACCAACCCTCCACAACCAGCCACTAACCAACCCTCCACAACCACCCACTAACCAACCCTCCACAACCACCCACTAACCAACCCTCCACAACCACCCACTAACCAACCCTCTACCCCTCCACAACCAGCCACTAATCAACCCTCTACCCCTCCACAACCACCCACTAACCAACCCTCTACAACCACCCACTAACCAACCCTCTACAACCACCCACTAATCAACCCTCTACCCCTCCACAACCACCCACTAACCAACCCTCTACAACCACCCACTAATCAACCCTCTACCCCTCCACACCACCCACTAACCAACCCTCTACCCACCACAGCCAGCTATGGAGAGAGCAGTGAACAAGACTCCTCTGAAAGCTCAGAAGAAGACTTCCCTATGACAAAAGCCAAAGCCAAAAAGAGCACAGACCTGGGTAATCCAAAAACTATGACAAGTACATAATCAGCCAACCAATCAGAGCATCTCTTTCACAGTAGCGAGTAGTCTCATTTTATCATCCTAGTGCTAGACTTGATATTTTTTTTAAGCATGCACACAACTTCATCATTGGGTATCAATACGCTTAGTTACAGGGCATGGTAAAAAGTGTACTCTACTTTAATACTTTTCATGTGCTGAAAAGCATGTTTAAAGCATGATTTAAATTTAGATTTAAAATGATGTTTTTAGAAATTGTATATAAGAGTTCCACAGATTATATTTAATGGATTGTCTGTTTGAAATTTTAGAATAATTATCTAAAATGAAAAGTGTTGAAAAGTAATTAAATTGGTTTTTTTCCCTCTGAATTATACCTGAATACATCTTTAGGATTTTCATTTAAATTTAATTTTAAAAATTCATTTTGTTTTGACACTAATTAAAACAAGCAGATCCATATTTATATTTAGCTAAAAAAATATTTCAGCCGCTGATATATTAGACATAACTTAAAACTATAATTATACAAAATTTACATTGTTTTTCATCTTCTTTGAGAATAAGATTCATTTTCATGCAATTAACTAATTATTTCAATCTTGTTGATTAATATAAATGAGTTTTTTTTAAAGCTTGCTAATGCTCATCCATAAGGAAGAAATGGTTTAATTTATAATGCTGACAGGACAATACATTAGCAGATTGAAATGGTATTTTTACTAGTATTGGGATTAGTAATAGGATTATGGCCAATGTTGGGATTACTGGTAAAATTAGGATTAGTATTGGGATTAGTGTTATGATTAGGGTCAGCGTTGGGATTACTGGTAGGATTAGGGCCAGTGTTGGGATTAGGAATAGAATTAGGATTAGTGATAGGATTATGGCCAGTGTTGGGATTAGGAATAGAATTAGGATTAGTGATAGTATTATGGCCAGTGTTGGGATTAGGAATAGAATTAGGATTAGTGATAGGATTATGGCCAGTGTTGGGATTACTGATAGGATTAGTGCCAGTGTAGGGATAGCCATGCTATAAAGTAGACTTGAATGTCTCCTGTCAGTGCTTTATGAAGTAGCGAGGAAATAGCACTTAAACAATGATTGTCCTTTTAGAGAGTGATAATGCAAGTATAGGCAGTTCAGCTTCCAGGACAGCCTTCCACAACAACAACCACAACTACTCCAGGGCGGAGAGCAAGACAAGCATCACCAGCGCCACCACGGCAGGGGGGCAACTCAGCGCTACAGAGAGTAGCAGGGGGGACGACTTGCACGATGACACAGACTCTGAGAGGTCAAGTAAGTGGGACTAATATTGTTTTTAATTTTTTGATGTAGTCAGTTTTATCATGTAAGTAAGGCCAACACTGCTTTTAAACTTTTTGCTGCAACAATTTTGTCAGGTAGAGAAAGCCAACGCTGCTTTTGAACTGATCTTGTCTAATTAGCTGCAATGAGTTTTGTCAAGTTAAATAAGCCAGCACTGCTTTTGAATGCAGTACGGTTTATGTTCTGAAATCTGACTGTCAAATGGTGATGCATCAACTCTCTGTACTTAGGCTGCTAAGTTCTTTGTAAGGGTTGCTAGTAACTTGAAATTCTCCTTGGTCCAGTTACTGAATTCAGTGAAGAATGTAATATTATCTGTATCTGTAAACATCTTTACATGGCATCAATATGTAGTCAACTTTACACAGTGTCTGGATTTGTAGACAACTTTACCGAATATCCAGGGACGGAGTGGTCTAGCGGTAGAGAGCTGGATTGCTAACCCTTAAGTCTCGAGTTCGAATCCAGGTTCAAGTCACTAGACCGTCCCTGAGTCCACCCAACTCTAATGGGTACCTAACTCACATTAGGGAAAGTAAAGGTGGCTTGGCATAGTGCTGACCACACTATCTCTTCATATGCCGAGGTTACAGAAACAAGTGAACTCTACTTCACTTGCCCTATAGACCGTCAGGTTTGAAAAGGAAACTTTACATACTTTTTTTTAACCGAGTATCAATATTTGTAGATATCATGTAAATTTTAGATCATGTCGCTGGAATTAATCAATATCTTGTCTTTGAAGACAGTCTTGATTCTTGTCACTCTATTTGGAAATTATTTTTTTTTTCACACAATTTAATAATTCTGCCAGTCAGAACATTAGGTTATTTTTGAAACATTCCAATAATTTTTTTTTTATGGACTTTAAAAGTTTTTATGCCCAGAAATACACTAAAAAAACCTTCCATAAAAAGACCCATAAAATTTTTCCTTTTTTGTTGAAAGGGGAGAAAATAGATTTCCTCCAAGAATAAAAAAATCTGGTCTGAAAGATGTCTCCTAGTTTTGTATGATCCCTTGAGGAGTTAGAACATAATTTGACAACTCTATTGGAAATCAATAGCTTCTCAAGATGGGCTATTTTCAGACCTCGCTAAAATTAAATTGCACAATATTTTTAGAACGATAATCTTTTAAAGTCTTTATATTAAATACGACCTTTTCTTTTTTTCTTACTCTTTAAATTATGGTTTTTTAATCAGACATATTACATTCACTTTTTATACCATGCTTTTTTTTTTACTTTATAAGTATTAAATACATTTTTTTTCATAGGAACATGCAACTATGTTTTCTTGTTGGTATTTGTTTTTTCTTGTTTGTTTTTGGTACTGAAGGTTTTGTGAATGTGTTCTCCACTTTCAGTATTTAGTAGGGAGGGCTCAACAAGATCTAAAGGCAAGGGCAGTCTTGGCCATGAGGAAGAGGGAGACAATATTGATGTGGCTGTAAATAGATATGGGAAAACCTCAAATACTGCTGATGAGGAGCAAGTTTCCTCCCCTGATAGTGAAGGAAGTAAGTCTTTTTTGTGTGGAGGTTTTTGGGGTGATTTTAATTAAAAATTACAGCAGTTTTTTTTTATTGTATCACTTTAAATTATCGCATTGTTTTACTTTTTTAATTATAAATATGACATTGGTTGTTAATAAAGTCAATATATAGCATTTTTTTTTTTAGTAAGTCATTTTGTTCTCTAAAATTTTAAATGTAGAACTAGTTGGTTAATTGTATAATTAGTTGGTCAATATTCCCTACAATGCTAAAATATGAATTTTCCATTTAAATTATATAATGCGCCAAAATAATGTACTTTTATATACTGTATTACTGTATTTAAATGTGTACAGAGTGTTTAACCATGATTTTTAATTCTGTGCCTGAATCTCTTTCCCCTCTGTCAGCATCACTGGGTCTCCTGGAGTTCTCACTGTTGTATGACTCGGTCAACAATGCTTTACACTGTACCATAGCTAGAGCCAAGGTAAGTTGGGCAACACAAAAAGTAAGGTGTGCTATTGTAAGAAAAGTTTTGAAACAAATATTAATATATTTAACTTAACACTAAAAAGGATTACTTTTTCAAAAAATACTTCTATTTTTTTTTTAAATATTACTCATTAGATATGTACTTAAATAAATTGCTCATTAGAAAATTTTGTTCTACTCTGACTTTCAAAATAGCTATTATTATAGTTGTGCTTAAAATATTATTCACCATGTGTAAGTAAAGTTTCCCTTTCAAACCTGACGGTCTATGGGGCAAGTGAAGTAGAGTTCACTTGTTTCTGTGACCTTGGCATATGAAGAGATAGTGTGGTCAGCACTATGCCCAGCCGCCTTTACTTTCCCTAACGTGAGTTATGTACCCATCAGAGTTGGGTGGACTCACCCTATGTGTGCTTTGATAAAAATATCAGCCTTTTTTTTTAATTTGTGATCAGATTAATATTTTTTTGTAATAAAGCTGCGTTTTAATTGCAGGGCTTGAAAGCCATGGACTCCAATGGCTTGTCAGATCCTTATGTCAAGTTACATCTGCTGCCTGGGGCCAGCAAGGTGAGACAAGCTAATTAAGAGAGTTTGTTACATGCAAGGTTTAGAGAGTGTTACATGCAAGGTTTAGCCCTCATCACATGCTTATTTAGGGAGTTTCTTTCATGCAAGGTTTAGCCTTCATCACACGCTTATTAAGAGAGTCTTTCATGCAAGGTTTAGCCTTCATCACATGCTCATTAAGAGAGTTTGTTACATGCAAGGTTTAGCTTTCATCACATGCTCATTAAGAGAGTTTGTTACATGCAAGGTTTAGCCTTCATCACTGGCTCATTTAGAGAGTTTCTTTCATGCAAGGTTTAGCCTTCATCACATGCTCATAAAGAGAGTTTGTTACATGCAAGGTTTAGCCTTCATCACATGCTCATTAAGAGAGTTTTTTCATGCAAGGTTTAGCATTCATCATATGCTCATTTAGAGAGTTTGTTTCATGCAAGGTTTAGCCTTTATCAATATCTTATTTAGAGAGTTTTTTCATGCAAGGTTTAGCATTCATCACATGCTCATTAAAAGGTTTAGCCTTCATCACATGCTCATTTAGAAAGTTTGTTACATGCAAGGTTTAGCCTTCATCACATGCTTTGTAATAGAGTTTATTAGATGCAAGGTTTAGCATTCATCACACGCTCATTAAGAGAGTTTGTTACATGCAAGGTTTAGCCTTCATCATATGCTCATTAAGAGAGTTTGTTACATGCAAGGTTTAGCCTTCATCACACGCTCATTAAGAGAGTTTGTGACATGCAAGGTTTAGCCTTCATCACATGCTTATTAAGAGAGTTTGTTACATGCAAGGTTTAGCCTTCATCACATGCTCATTAAGAGAGTTTGTTACATGCAAGGTTTAGCCTTCATCACATGCTCATTAAGAGAGTTTCTTTCATGTAAGGTTTAGCCTTCATCACATGCTCATTAAGAGAGTTTGTTACATGCAAGGTTTAGCCTTCATCACACGCTCATTAAGAGAGTTTGTTAGATGCAAGGTTTAGCCTTCATCACATGCTCATTAAGAGAGTTTGTTACATGCAAGGTTTAGCCTTCATCACATGCTCATTAAGAGAGTTTGTTACATGCAAGGTTTAGCCTTCATCACATGCTCATTAAGGGAGTTTGTGACATGCAAGGTTTAGCCTTCATCACATGCTCATTAAGAGAGTTTCTTTCATGCAAGGTTTAGCCTTCATCACACGCTCATTAAGAGAGTTTGTTACATGCAAGGTTTAGCCTTCATCACATGCTCATTAAGAGAGTTTGTTACATGCAAGGTTTAGCCTTCATCACATGCTCATTAAGAGAGTTTGTTACATGCAAGGTTTAGCCTTCATCACATGCTCATTAAGGGAGTTTGTGACATGCAAGGTTTAGCCTTCATCACATGCTCATTAAGAGAGTTTCTTTCATGCAAGGTTTAGCCTTCATCACACGCTCATTAAGAGAGTTTGTTACATGCAAGGTTTAGCCTTCATCACATGCTCATTAAGAGAGTTTGTTACATGCAAGGTTTAGCCTTCATCACATGCTCATTAAGAGTTTGTTACATGCAAGGTTTAGCCTTCATCATATGCTTATTAAGAGAGTTTGTTACATGCAAGGTTTAGCCTTCATCACATGCTCATTAAGAGAGTTTGTTACATGCAAGGTTTAGCTGTCATCTCACGCTCATTAAGAGAGTTTCTTTCATGCAAGGTTTAGCCTTCATCACACACTCATTAATAAAGTCAATATATAGCATTTTGTTTTTTTAATTTTTTTAGTAAGTCATTTTGTTCTCTAAAATTTTAAATGTAGAACTAGTTGGTTAATTGTAGAATTAGTTGGTCAAATAGTTGGCTCATTACGAGAGTTTGTTACATGCAAGGTTTAGCCATTATGACACACTAATGTCCCATACTCTTATTTGAATTGGAGTTACTGTTAGGGTCAAAATTATTAGGCTGACAAATTATAAAATCTTAGAGACCTTGTGATTGATTGATTGATCATAAAAGTACTCAAATCTTTATGATTTTTTCAGTGTATAATTTAAATATCTTGACTTGTGCAACCTAAAAGAGAAAGTATTAAATTGCTCTGACATATAGTGTGCTCAACATCTTTCCACTAAGGGATGGCATGGCCTAGTGGTAGAGCACTACACTGCTAACCCAATAGTCTTGAGTTTGAATCCGGGTTCAAGTCTCTTAGTCCACCTAGCTCTGATGTGTACCTAACTCACATAAGGGAAAGCAAAAGTGGCTGTGCATAGTGCTGACCACATTATCCATTCATATGCCTTGGGCACAGAAATAGGTCCACTCTACTTCACTTGCCCCATGCACATTTGGTTTGACAAAGATCCTTTACTTTTTTTTTCATCTACCCACAGTCAACAAAGCTGAGGACAAAAACAATCCACAAAACACTGAATCCAGAGTGGAACGAGTCCCTGACCTACTACGGAGTCACAGAGGAGGATATACTAAGGAAAACTTTAAGGTACAAACACTTACACATTTTTGTTTGTGTACACATACTTGTACACATAAGTGTGAAAACATTTGCTATTCAGAATTCTAAATTAATTAAAAATCATATCTGTGTGCATAAATTAGGACTTATTAAAAATTACTCACTTTACATAATAAATATAAAGCTGGAATACAGTCTGTTAAGTTACCATAGGACAGATAAAGAAGAGTTCACCTGGTTTTGTGACCTTGGCATATGGATGATAATGTTTTCAGCACTATGCCCAGCCACTTTTAATTTCCCTTATGCGAGTCAGGTACCTATCAGAGCTGGGTGAACTTAGAGTGTCCTATGGGCTCAAGCCTTAGTCCCAAACCTGAAACTTCCAGTTTAGCAGTGATGCAAGGTCTAAACAAATATTAGAACTAAATCAAAAGCCTAATAGATTTTAAACACATTTAAAGTGTTGCCTATAAAATGGAAGATTGTTAATAGTTTATTTCTTTAATGACAAATTGTCTGATAGCTCTATTCACCATTTAATCTTGAGTCAAGTTACTATCCAAATAACTGGTATACTTTGTTCTCCAGTAATCATTCCATTTAACTCTGTCTTTCCACATCATGCAGGCTCTCAGTCCTTGATGAAGACGCCTTTGGTTTTGACTTTATTGGAGAATTTCGAGTGCCTCTAAAAAGAATCAAGCCTCACCAAACCAAGAACTTCAGTGTTTATTTGGAGAAACAGATGGCTGTAAGTAGATAATGTTCTCTCGTGTGTTTTCACAAATTAGTGTAGGGCGGAGCATTCTAATCACACAATTATTGTATTCTTTGACTGCTGGTACACATTAGCACTTGGTGAAATACTCTGAATACAGAATACTTTTATTTATTCTTTGACTGCTGTTACACATCAAGTACACAATACTCTTTGGCTGTATTTAGCCATTAGACCTGTTTGGCACTGACTAAATGCTTCTTTTCTTAAGCGTCTGTTAGTCATTGACGCTTGGTGGATTGTTCTAAATACACATTGTTTGCCTCTTTATTGACATGTTTTATAGATTAGAGTTAGGTAGAGCGTCCTTGAGATTAAGTTATTTATACTTACATCTCAGTATCTCTACTTAAAACTAATTTTGATAATGTATGTTTTTGGACAAACTAATTTGTTACAAGATTAAATCTGTAAACATCCATCCCCTTGTCTTTTACAGATGGAAAAAGATGATGATTTGATACAGATCCGAGGAAAAATTCTCTTATCCTTGAGATATGCTCTGGCCAAACAGAGCTTATATGTCCGGATAATCCGCTGTGCTGAGCTTGCAGCTATGGACACTAATGGATATAGTGACCCATATGTTAAAGTGTATGCATTTTTATATTTTATACTTTTCTAAATAAGTTACAATGTATACAGCGCCCCCGTGTTTACATTAAATAATGATTTTAATAATAACTAGCCGGACATCAAATACTTGCCATTGTATCCAATTATTTAATCTTTTTCTAAAGCTCTTATTTCAAGCAGTAACGTAAAGCCCTCACCATTAAAACAGTTACCTGCAGCCATAACTATTGACATAGTTTTCCTAAGCCCATTTCATTAAAACATTCACCAATATCCCTTGTCATTAAAACATTAATCTAGAGCCCTTGTCATTAAAACATTCACCTAAATCCCTTGTCATTAAAACATTGACATAAAACAATCACCTAAATCCCTTGTCATTAAAACATTCACCTAAATCCCCTTGTCATTAAAACATTCACCTAAATCCCTTGTCATTAAAACATTCACCTAAATCCCTTGTCATTAAAACATTCACCTTAATCCCTTGTCATTAAAACATTCACCTAAATCCCTTGTCGTTAAAACATTCACCTTAATCCCTTGTCATTAAAACATTCACCTAAATCCCTTGTCATTAAAACAATCACCAAAATTCCCTGTCATAAAAACAGTTACCTGAAGCCAGACAAGGACAAGAAGTCCAAATATAAAACCACAATAAAGAAGAGGACACTCAACCCAGAATACAATGAGGTACTTACTAATCTTATTTTTAAATTAGTACTTCATTGGATTATATAATTTGTAAACATTTATACATATTTATAAATATTGTATAATAGTATAATCCTTATTTTAATTTTGTTTTAAACACCCAATATACATTTCTCTATTTCCAAAATAATGACAGATAATATTAAATATCCCTATCAATAAGTGTTACCATTAATGATTAACAGCTCCCACATTAAATTAGTAAATATGATAGTTTCCTCCCCTTTTAATACTGTTAGTGTTAGAATACAAATGGCAGCTAACAATTACCTCCCCATACCTTCCCCCTATCAATGCAGGAGTTCACCTATGAGATCCGTCATAATGAGCTGGCCAAGAAAACCCTGGAGATAACTGTGTGGGATAAAGACATTGGAAAAACAAATGATTTTATTGGTAACATTCCTCACACGTAACATGCAAATCCCTTTTTAATCATTGGTCAAATAATTTTATTGGTAACATTCTTCACATGCAACATACAAAAAACTTTCTAACATTGGTCAAATGATTTTCTTGGTAGCATTCCCCACATATAACAAAATAACTGTCTAACATTGGTCAAACAAATAATACATTTGTCACCCATGAATAACCTATTCACATTGATTAAACAAATTAATTTATTGAAAACATTAGAAACTTTACAATAGAGATAAATTTATTCAGTGGCGTAGGCAGGGGGGGTTAGGGGGGTCATAACACCCCCCATAGACCCCTCGGTATATATAAAAAGTATGAGGGGGGGTGCAAATCGAAAGTTTGAGGGGGGGTGCAAATCGAAAGTTTGAGGGGGGGTGCAAATCGAAAGTTTGTCCCCGGGTAAAAATTGGAACCCCCCCCCCCCCCCCTTGAGACGATCCTGGCGGCTACGCCACTGAATTTATTATAAAAGGTATGTGGATTTGAAAGTTAATTGAGTCAAGCTTTTAGGAATCTTAATTTTAATATGGAGAGGAAGAATTCCTCTGTTTCAAAACCTCTTTACATAAAGAGATTTTCTAGTCAGTACTATACCTGGCTAACATTACTTTTTATAGATTGAAGTACCCTTTAAAGTTGGTGTCTAGCTATCATTTTTTCTACCCTTCATAAATGTATTTGTTCTACTCACAATAGATAAATTGATATTTTAGTTTCTCTTTCAACATAATGTAATATTTATTCCTCTAACATTAACATTAACAACATAATGTAATACTTATTTCTCAATCAAAAATGTAATATTTGATTCTCTATTAACATAACTTAATATTTAGTTCATCAACATTATGTGATATTTGTTTCTGCATCATCATAAATTAATATTTAGTCCCTCTATCAACACAACTAGATCATTTATTTCTCTATCAACCCAATGTGATATTTAGTCTCTCTATCAACACAACTATATAGATGTATTTATCTACACAACATGATATTTAGTTTCACTATCACCATAATGTGCTACTTTATTTCCCTGTCAACTTTTCAAAAAACCAACTAGGTGGTGTCCAGCTTGGCATCAACTCTAAAGGAGAGCGCCTGAAGCATTGGTTTGACACACTGAAGAACCCAGACAGGGAGTACAGGAGGTGGCATGTCTTGTCTGCTGAGCTCACTCCAGAGGTTCAATTGTAGACAGCCGTGTGCTTTCTTGTGTTCTGTGGTAGAGATAGTGAGTGTTGTCATTCTATTGTGGACCTACACAACTGCTTGCATTCTAGTGGTGGCCTACACTTAACTGCTTGCATTCTATTTTATATTAAAATAATTTTTATATGCCTTTCGAATAAAAAAAATCTTTTCTCTTTTTTATATATATAAATGGTTTTTTTTTTTAAGTTGGTTATTAACCATTTACATTACTAGTAAACTTTTTTCAAAAGGTAGGATCAGCTGGCAATAGCTTTTCTAGTTAAAAAATGTGTAATATTATTTTAAAGAGAAGCTGTTAATAATCAATTAATTTTTTTTAAATATGTAGGACATAGCCTATATAATGTACATATTATGCTGAGCATATCTGAAAGATTTGTGTTTTACTATAACATAGGATTAAACAGTTTTTTTTAAAAGGATCTTTTGTTTGAAATATAATCAGCTGTATTAAATACAATAATTAAAGTGGGGAGATATCTAATTGTATTCCATTTGTAAAGAAAAGTATAGTAGAAGTAATGTACCTTTATTTACTATCCTCTTGTTACCTCCCTTGCTTGTAAACCAAACCTCTATTTGAACCTATTTTCCTCTCAGAATTTAGTTTTCTGTACTGGTCATCTAACCATGTGAACCACCTCTGTTTACCTCACCAACTAACCACCTCTGTTTACCTCATCAACCAACCACCTCTGTTTACCTCACCAACTAACCATCTCTGTTTACCTCACCAACCAACCACCTCTGTTTACCTCACCAACTAACCATCTCTGTTTACCTCACCAACCAACCACCTCTGTTTACCTCACCAACTAACCATCTCTGTTTACCTCACCAACTAACCATCTCTGTTTACCTCACCAACTAACCATCTCTGTTTACCTCTCCATTTAACCACATCAACCACCTCTGTTTACCTCACCATCCAACCACATCAACCAGTTTACCTCACCAACCAACTAACCATCTCAATCCCATCTGTTTACCTCACCGACCACATCAACCACCTGTTAAAAGTACCCCACCAACTAACCAATATGACCTCTTGTAAAATGTTTTTAATCAGTAAAAAAATTTAGTATTTCCCCTGATGTTCTTCATGCTTGCTCCATCACAGAGAAACTTTACTTGTATAACTAACAATCATTTTTATCTCTCAAGTTGTTTTAAAATGTTAAATAGGACAAGTTAATATTGTTGTAAAAATACCATTCAGTCAATAGAATAAGGAATATATGTAGATTTTGTGAACTTAGTTTTTTTAAAAAAAGCAAATTTTAAAAAGGTTTAGATTAGGTTGATCAATTGATAACTAAACACAAAAATAAAGAAAATTATAAACTAAAGGCATCTATTTTTTTTATTGATATCTTGGTGTATTTTGACTTTCCTGACTGTTTTTATTTCAATGTTGTCTAGATCATGTGTGCATGTAATCACAAATTCTGCTTAACTTTATCACTTTGATGTTTCCACATGCAAAATTATTGGTGGCTGACTTGTTTATATGTGTGCATGTATCAATACTATCATTGATATATAAGCCAGATAAGAAAATTTATAGACAGAGAATTTATACCTCAATTTTATTTATATACATTTTTTATCTGAATTTTTGTGATTTTATTATGCGAAATGAATTTATTCTTCAGCAAAGTATTCTGACATCATATTATTAAAAATACTATAGTATAGTTTAGTGACAAAGTATAGTTTTCTAGCTTTAAAATAAAATATGGTAAATTTTATTATAATTTTTTTTTGCAGCCTGATGACTGAGCCGTAGAAAGGGATTTTATGTCTTGATCTTGCATGAATGGTAAAGGGAGGGAACAAGGGGACCATCTGTGAGGCTGTTGGCTGCTTACAAGTTGACCAATGCTGAAACAAGTCACAAGCTCAAGGCTTACTAAAGGATAGAATGTTTTTTTCTTATATTAATTAATAATGATGAAACAGAATACTAGAACTCATTAAGTATTATTTTTATTAAATTACAAGTTCAACTAGATTTAAGAATATTTTGTTTATAAATGGTTCAGTATTGAATATGGTTTTATTCCTAGAAAAACAAACTGAATTTTTTTTAGGTATTGTAACATGATTTTGTTAATTGTATTAATTCTGTAAGTATGTCTTTGCCTACTTAAAATCCTAATGTGTATGTTTCAACATTTTAGCAACATTTTTACAGAAATAAATGTATTGCAATTTAAATAGGATCTTCACCTACTTACACTGAAAATAAAACATTATTCGTTAAATCAAAAAATTATTTTGGAGCAAGCCTCATTGAAGATGGTTCTTGATTAATAGATACTGATAAACATTTAAAACATTTAATCATATTATCAAAATATGATGGACCATCAAAAATAATGAAATAAGTTCTACTTAGCCTTCTACTTTAAAAAACAATCAAAGTAACTTTTGGTGTATGGTTTATTTAAAACCTATTTTTGTAAACCAAATTTTACATCTTCTATTTAAATTCTTAAATGAATTATACCTAAGCTTGCCAAAAATTGTATTTATAACTAAAGACTACTTATAATAGAAGATAAGGAATCTGCTTCTAGTAAACTTGAAAACATTTTATATAGCAAATCCTTCACATGAGCATGTTGAAGAATCAATATAACCTACTTAAATCATGTTTAAAAAAAAACGGTTTTATTTGCTGGTTTAAGGACCTTAATTAAGCTGCTTTTATTCTTGAATAAAATTAATCCTGCTATATTTTAATGTTATTTAACTAGTAAGTTTAAACTCAAACTTGATGTTTCAAGAGCCTCACTATGGCTTAATTTACCTTTTGTCATTTTTTTTTTTCAAGTTGCATTTCTAGATATTCAAATATTTATAAGAAGAAAACTTGCAGGCAGAGTGAGAGCCCAAGGATTTAAGAGACACTCGCAAAACATGCTCTAGCGTAGATTACCATACTTTAATGTTATTTCCATGGAGTGAAAAGTAAAAAAAAAAAGTAAAAGTTCCCTTTTCAAATCTGACAGTTCATGGGGCAAGTAAAGTAGATTTCACTTGTTTCTGTAACCTCTGTATATGAAGGAATAGTATGGTCAGCGCTAAGCCTAGCCCAGGAGTAAAAAGTTTGTAAATGATAACTTCCCTTTCTGAATGTAGACTTGGATGTTTATGGTGTACATATATGAAACTTTTAATCGGTCTCCTGTTTCTTTAAATGTAAAAAAAAACATAAATCTTCTTACACAGTTGTTTTCTTTCTACTGTACTGTTGTAAAGCATAATAATCTGTTACCGCACCTCTTTACTCTACTTAAGTGCCACTTAGATTTCTAGACTCATTCTTAGCTAGCACTCGGGAAGTGTTCTGAATTCTTATTATAACATTATCTTACTAGTTATGCCTACAATTGTTAAAATGAAATATACTTTTTTTGTGGTCTAATTGTCATATTGATCATTTTTTTTATTTGAAGTTTATTGCTTTAAAGCTAAACAGGACTTTACATTTTTTGAGTGTGATATACTAAACTCTGCAGCAGTGATTAGCTAAGCCAGAACAGAACCTCAGAGTTACTGTTACTTTAAAGGGAAATAATCTATTCTGGAAAGAATTTCTTTTTGTAGAGGTTGCTAGGCAAAGTGTGGAACAAGTTAATTTCCCTTTATATTAATGAGGCCTTTAGTGTTATTTCAACACTTAAAAGAAAAGAAGGACTAAAAATACAGAGTTTCTCATAGCTATTTGTTAGCACACAGGAATACTAACAATAAAAACCATTGGAAAATAAAGGCAACTGTAAGTGAAGTGGTGGGAAAAAAATTAATGCCTTACTTGACCCATGAAGACATTTTGATAGAATATTTGCTTAGCATCATGTATTTCTTTGTTCACTATTACACATTTGGTAATTTGACTTCCAATATTAACCTTCCACTCTTTGCCAAGAATGTTTGTCATTCTTTAAAAGCCTAGACAGATACAAAGGATTATTCAAGAAATAGTTCTTGGCCTGAAAACAGCATGCTTTCAATACAACGGCTGCATTTCTCAATTTTCCTGGAATACTGACATAAAAAATATAGGAACTCGTTTATAACCAAATGTTGATATAAACTTCAGAACATTTCCAGAATGTTGTGGTAAATGTAGAACAGTTATGTACACTCTAATGTAAATAGATCTTTGGAAAATGTATATTTAAAATACATTTGCATTTATGTTTGTATTACATTAGTAGAGCATTATTGGTGTTTGGGTTTCTTTAATTAATATTTGCTAGGGGTCATCCATATATGGGGTCACACTATCGTTGCTGATTTAACCCCTTCCCTACCATCCCTGGCCTCATCACATGTAATCACAAACAGTAGTCCCCTCTGTCAATGACAACATTATATAACCTATTTAATCACCCTAAAATAATCATTTTTATGTTTTCAAAACTTAGGTTCCTAAAAAAAAAATTCTGTCCAAAATAAAACTCTGTCAAGCTAATTAAAACAAATGTCCTACCTTTCTCCCCTGCCTCTTCTCCGAGTTGTGTGATGTCATGTATAGATAACCCCTTTCACCTTATTTTAAAAAATATTTATCTTCATTTGTTATTATTTCATTATTAAACAAAGCTACAAGGACAAGTCCTGAGTTATGTACTTGACCAAGTTTCTTGTAGGCCCACTTCACTGTGATACATACACCATAAGTTGTATTCATTTGTTCATTTACTCTCTGCCTCTATTAAACAAAGGAATTCAAATAGATAATTTGCGATGATAAAAAGTTGAGCAAAGATCCAGTGTATGCTATAAATGTTCCCTTAACTAATCCTTTATAAGACAGGCCACTATATATATATATATATATATATATATATATATATATATATATATATATATATATATATATATATATATATATATTGGGGCTTAGCAAGGATAAAGTAGCTTTATCCTGTAACACCACTAATTCTATCGTATTAATGTTGCTCTTCCTACTTTTAAATTTCCTAAAAGTATGGATTTCATTCTTTAAGGAATTTTAGGTGTTAAAATAATTTTTGAAATAAATTATCTAAATCAATAGCTGCCTCTCTTATTTTGAGGATTGTTTGAGTTTTTCAGCTGTGATTGTTTGTTTTTTCCCTTACCTCAATCCAAACTGTGAATTTGCTTGTATATTTATTTGTATGGGAGTAATAGGATATATTTTGAAATATTTATTATAATGCATTGTGTGTATTTAATTTAAAGTAGTTAAAGATGATAACTTTGTACATTATCAGCTGTTAGTGTTCTTTTCTTTTATATCAGGCATTTTATAAACAAAACAAAAATTGTAAGTTTTATTTCTTACAGAAATATGTTTTGTTTAATTTGTGTATTGATTTAAGTTTAAATGAATTCCATTTTCCAACTATTTACACCTTGTAATGTAACCAGTTTTTTTATTTGTTAGTCTTTATTTCATAACTTCAAATTTTGTGTGCATCTTTTCAGTAAGTTATGACATATTCTCTAAAGTATTTCTAATGATGGAAAAATATGGCTTTATTTAGAATCTATTTGAAAAAACATTTTTTTTTTCAATTTATTTCATCAGATGTTCTATGTGCTTTTTATCATGATTTTACTTAAATATTTATATATCATTTTGAAAATTTTTTGCTTGCATTATGATTTAATTTGTTGCATTTACAGCTTATTAACAAAGTTAGAAATCTGCCAGTGTTTTAGTGTAATAATTTACTAGTTTTAACTTTGGTAAAGAGGTAGTCAACTAGTTTTTAAATGTGTCTTGTGCACATTGTTCTACATGTTGAATGTTATTTAGACAAAGTTAATTCAGAAGTCCAAAATCATTCTGTTTATTATGTTAACTGCTTGTCACCACAGTTCTCTAATATTGAGAGTTCCAGTCTATTGTAAACCTCTTTTATTACAGCAATCAGCTAATGTATCCAATGAGTTAAAACTTAAGCTGTTTTGGTGGGTTGGAATAAAAATCAGCTATTCAGGTTTCTTTTATAGACAGCATTTTAAGGTCCATTCTTTGTTGACTTGTTTTAGCCTTTATTTTCTTAAAGCATTTTTTGTTGTTTCTAATTTTAAGCTTTAATCTACAGTAATGTGTTCATTTGTTTTTTACAGGCCTTTTTTGTATGATGCATAATGCTGCTCTTGTCATAGGTTTCATAGTTGAATTAATCCTCTTTATGTAGACATAGTGAATCCCTTATGTGTTTGTAGTGGCACATGATGAGGGTTAAAGAATATTTGATTCACTAAAATAGGACTTGTGTCTTTTTGGTTAATTAGTACTAAAGGTAATATGGTATGCTAAAAACTTAAACCATTTGCTTACTTAAACATTTATTGAAAATGAAATAATATTATATGTATGGGGAAAAATGGATCTTATGAAAAAATCTTAAAAATCTGCTTAGATAGTCAGTTGTTAATGTAACAATAATTAATACTTTCTTTTGTTTATTAAATCTGATAATTAAGCCAAATGTATTATAGTTATACTTTTTCATTCTAATTCAGACAACTAATTATTGGATGGTAGATGTTTAGGATTGTAGCTTATGATTGGTCCTTATTTTAATTTATTCTCTAAAAAAATGTTACCAGATCAATTTCTCTCTGTGATGGCCATTTCTTGAATGTCAATTTTTTTTCAATGTATTTTTACTCAACTTCCTAGATGGTTAAATAACCGCAAGTAGAAGTTGTTAACCTATAATGCAGTTACATTAATAAAAAATTTACCTTTTACATTTTGTCTTTAATTTTTGTTAACCGTGAATGACTGGAATACTTATGTGTTATAAATCTAAAGGTATATATTTGGGAAGTTTGAAAGAAACTGCTGATTTAAAAATGTGTCAAAACTGAGTTACAAGACTTCATATTAATTAACACCCCAAAAATATTTGCATCAAATCCCAATCTGTAGTTCTACACCACAGTTAGATCTATCTCGCCTTCCTTCCAATATCATACACCATGATTGGTTCTTAGGAGTGCAAACATTGGCGAAATTCGCAATATTATAAAATAAAGTCTCGAAAAATTATTTTCATTTCCCCCCGCCCCCAAAACACATGGCTTTACTCCTACACGGGCAATTTTCTTGCGCCATCCCATCCTAGAAAAAATGTCTGAAAGAGACACTGAACTACACACCACTGAGTTCGGACTTAAGTGCCATGTGTAACCAGGGAGAGAGAGAAGGTGAGGTTTAGGAAGAGCTGAATTTTCTATAAAAATGAATTATAGAAGATTTTTATTACATTTTAAAATTATTATTTTTTGTGATCAATAAATCTTAAATTAATCCGATTTTTCCAATTAAGTCAACAAAATATTAAGATTTTCTTACCAAAGGGAAAATACTCAATAAATATTTTTATCAGAAATATCAAAGCCTGGTAGTTTCCCCTTAAACAAATTGACATAGGGGGGCGTAACTGGCTACGGTAACAACGTATGAAGTATTACATTTTGTGACGATGAGGTTAAGAGTAAACTCGTCGAAAAACGGGAAGTCGTTTATGGAAATCTCATACTCAAAAATTTTCTGGTAGGCAGTCGAGCGCTCTATCCTTTGAGCACACCGTCCCATATTGATTTGCACATTTCTAATGTGGTTTCACCTTAATCTCTTTACGGTGGACGGTGTAGTTAAATCAGAACAGTTACAAGTTACGTAACTTTGTTTTTTCAATACAGTGTAATAATCGTTCAGTTTCTGCAAACATTATATTTTTGTCTAGAGGAGGCACTGTTTTCTTTGAGGAAAAAATGTTCTCCCCTCCCCAGCTGCCACTCCCCACCCACGTGTGAATCTGTGCTCGCCTACTAAATTAACTTAGGTATTAATTATACTTGGGGTCATTCATAAATGACGTCATGCTTCTTACGTCACACATCGTGACAAAACAAAACCATCCCCACCCCATAAAATGACGTCCCACTGCCTGCAACGCCCCCCCCCCCCCCACTCCAATCAAAATTGCAGTTAAATTTTCCTTTTCTCTAATATTGACTAAGCTCAGTTAACATAGAGAATATTAATCAATTATTAGTACAATTTACATTACCTCCTCTAAAACACGCAATAATGGCTAAAATTCAGTTTCTAACTACTTTTTTTATGCAAAAGGGTGACGTTACACTGTTGTCATTTTTTGACGACCCTTCAACCCCCACCCTAGAAAAAAAAAATTCAATTTAAAGTATCTTCGGTAAATGACGATGACACAACTTCTTCAATGTAATTTAATGTAAATGTTTCTAATGGTGTACATGCAACACAAGCAGTGTTTCTTCCAGACTTTTTTCTCCGGGGGTGCACCTGAAATCTTCGGGGGGGGGGGGGGTAAACTTTCTTCGGGGGGGGGGGGGGGGCGGACACTGTTAAAAGTATATATTTTCTATATAAATTATATACATTTCATTTCGTTCGGGGGGGGGGGGGGGCGGTAAAAAAATTTCGGGGGGCTTTGCCCCCGAAGAGATGCCTGGAAGAAACTCTGAACACAAGTTGAGACCTAAGTAAAACTATATTAAGAACCTTAAAAGTTCTACATTAAAATCGGAAACCTAGATAAAAAGAATTCCCAAGCGGGGAATCGAACCCCGGCCGCCGCGGTGAGAGCGCGGAATCCTAACCACTAGACCACTTGGGATACATTCCTCAAAGTGCAGTCAACTTAAATATTCTTTTAAAAGAATTTTGAATAAGCGATTCATATTTTGTATTGAAATCTATATTTAACTATATTTAGATCTGGATCTAAGTCTAAAGTGATAAGGCCTAATTCTTACACTAAAAATTGTCTAAATTTTATTCTTGTGTAGAGGGTAAATACTGATTAAATGCTAAACAATGCGATGAATAATTAATCTATAATAAAGGTCTAGATAGGGCCCTAAATATTTTAATTTATTTGTTAGCTTAATTAAAGTTTTATAAGTTTTTAAATACGGAAGTTATGAACAGAACTGAAAGTACTATTTCTAGACTATTTATCTGGCTTGCTTACTCATTAAATAAAAGTCTTGCTTGAGCTAACGCTGGCTAAACTAATATAAATATAAGTTTAGTTTAATTAATTCATACCAATCTGAAACTAAAATGGTCTTTTTACCATTAAAATCCAATTTCTAGTGAAATCGTCAGAGTCAGACTGTGAAGTGACTGTCACAGTGTCAGATTTGAACTTGTAAGTTGAGTATGTATATGTAACATCATATTATTATGTTAATAATTAATAATTATTAATTAATAATATATAAATAATATAAATATACTTAATATAGGGCCTAAGCCTAAGTCATATAAATTATAATTATAAGATAAGGCATAAAAGTAAAGTAAAGTTTCCCTTTCAAACCTGACAGTCTATGGGGCAAGTGAAGTAGAGTTCACTTGTTTCTGTGACCTCAGCATGTTAAGAGATAGTGTGGTCAGCACTATGCCCAGCCGCCTTTACTTTCCCTAACGTGAGTTAGGTACCCATCAGAGTTGGGTGGACTCAGGGACGGTCTACTGACTTGAACCCTGATTCGAACTCGAGACTTATGGGTTAGAAGTCCAGCTCTCTACCACTAGACCACTCCGTCAGGACAATATATATAAGGCATAGGCCCTAATTATTATAATTAGGCCTTATTAGGCCTATGGGTGTTGTTACCTATTGTAACACTATTGTTAGCTTACTCAACTGAAAGTTACTGGTAGTCAATTATGAATTAGGGACTAATTAGCCTAATAAATATAAGTAGTAAGTAGGCCTATATTAATTATAACTTGTTACCTCTACTACTCTAGTCTAACCCATGTCCAAATACTGCCATAGCCTTAACAACTTAACGGGCCTTAACCCTAATTTCTGGCCAAAACACTAAACTTGAAGAGATTACCATACAACTGATCATGGCTATTTTTGGAAGAGTCTATTGTTGGACACTGGTAATATAAAAACTCCAGTGTTATTGTCAATTAAGGGTAGGGTAGGTTAAGTAGGTATGGTTTGAGGTCAATTCCAGTTTGCAGCCAGATGACAAGTTACCTGTTGATTGATTATTGAAGAATTGCATTAAGTCATTAAGTTTAATTATTAACTATTATTCTTGTTTTACTTGATTTATATTACAGGAATATTTACAAATTGCATTTTCTTGAAAAATTATATTACATAAATCTTTACAAATTGCATATTCTTGAAAAATTACATTACAGGAGTCTTTATAAGTTACATATTTCTTTTTATCTAATGTTTGGCTTTTTACATTTTTTAAGGTAAGGAACAACTATTAGAGGATGTCTTTAAAATCCATCAAGGATATCAAACCAACAAAAGGGGATGAAAAATCAAAGGCGTCCAAAGCTGCAGATCTCGAACGCTTTCGTCAAAGTCTGGCCAAACGCTCATTAGATGTGAAATTTGACCTGCAGGACACAGACTACAAGCCAATAGAAAATATTGGCATTGGTGCCTATGGAGTAGTGTGTTCGGCCATACACACTAAGTCTGGTGATCGTGTCGCCATTAAAAAAATTCCAAGTGTCTTTGAAGCACTGACCATAGCTAAAAGAACGTACCGAGAAATAAAGATTTTGAAGCATTTCAAGCATGACAATATCATTTGTATAAGGGAAATATTACTGCCAAAGGAAAATGCCAAAGACTTCAAGGTAATAGTTTTTTATGCATTCCAATCTCTATGTCGAGTTTGGGCAACATTGTTTTCAGTTGCGTGTTTAAGGTGTGGTCTATTGTGTGCTGTGTAAATTGTGTTTAGGGCTGTGGAGCTAGTAATTGAGAGAGTAATTGCTACACATCAAGTTTTTAGTCAAGTTCCTTACACTTCATCTGCCCATAGTGATCTTATGAGAAATAATGACTTTTTATTTTGTAAATATAACTTTCATTTTATTAAATCCTAATTTTTAAAATTGCAAGCATAAACTCATTGCTTTTGTTTTATTATTTAAATAAGTATCTATTTTTTTAAACAGCTTGTTTTTGCTTTATTAATGTTTAAATTAGTATCTATAATTTTTTAATAGCTTTTATTTTTTTGTTTTTACTTTATTTTTACAATTATCTATTTTTTATAATAGCTTTCTTTTTGTTGTTTTTGCTTTAACTTTAATATTTAAATTATCTATATTTTTTTAGTAGCTTTCATTTTGCTGGTTTTATTTCAATATTTAAATAATTATCTAACTTTACCTGAACAAGAAGACTTCAATATTGATTTTGTTCCCTACACAGGACATCTATGTTGTCTTTGACCTCATGGAGAGTGATCTGCATCGCATCATCTACTCGGAGCAGGAGCTGAGTGAAGAACACATTCGCTACTTCCTGTATCAGATACTGCGCGGGCTGAAGTACATCCACTCAGCCAATGTCATACACAGAGACCTGAAGCCCAGCAACCTTTTAGTCAATGAAGATTGTCATTTGAGAATCGGAGATTTTGGTAAAATGTTCTTTATTAGATGTTCTCTAAAGTCTTAATATTCAGTTTTATTATTTGGCTTGTTGTTTATATTGTGTGGTGTACAGAGTTTACACATAAACCAGCTCCATGTTTCTAAAATATGTGGTTCCAATCATTATCACATAGACATTTTTAAAGGTCAACAATTTAAAGATGAATGTTGATTATTATAAACTACATTGATCATTAGAAGTATTTGTTTTGAAAATTCTCTCGCTATAAATAACAAGTTGCAGAATTGTTCTGGCTATTTTCGTTTTATTCATGCTTCTGTACTTTTTGTATTGATTTAGTGACCATCATTTATACTAAATTTCATTAGAAATCTTTAACCATTTGTTAAACAATTGTTTTTTTTAATTGGAGCGGGGAGGGAGGGGGAATTATTAACTCACTGTGTGTTAAAATTCCTCTTAAAAAGGAGACAATGAATCATTTTAGTGATATTTTGTTAAAGCTTTTGTACCATATGTTCTACCCTTTTGTTCTACCCTTCATACAGGCATGGCAAGAGGCATATTCTACACGCCCAATGAAGCCAGTTACTACATGACTCAGTATGTGGCCACGCGATGGTACCGTGCACCAGAAATACTGCTAGCAATGCTGGAGTATGGCACAGCAGTTGACATGTGGTCAGTTGGCTGTATTTTTGCCGAGATGATTGGCAGGAAACATTTATTCCCTGGTATGAATTAGCCCAACACATTTTAGCTAACTTTAAGCTCACCAGAGTTGTTTTTTTTTAAGTATCAGTTATGAAAGTTTTTGTATTAATGATGTAGACCAAGCAGTACAAAATCAGATCAATCAACTAGCTTATGATGAAGTTAAGATTTGACAGACAGTTAATTTTGATCAAATAGTTTAGAATAAATCATCTGTTGTTGTTTTTTTCTTTTTTTTTTTTTTTTCATTTTATGATTAATCTTTTGATCAATTGATCCTTAGGTAAGGATTACATCTCACAGCTGAAGCTAATTATAGGTGTGCTTGGAACTCCCTCTGAGGCTGTCTTAAAGAACTGTCAAAATGACATCCTTAAAAGAATTATCAAAGGTTTGGAAACCTTTTTTACAGTGCTGTTTGCTTGACATGAAATTTTGCCTCTTAGAGATATTTACAAAATGTATATGACTGCTTCACTTGTTTTGTTATTTAAATAATATTCCTTATAAAAAAAAAAATTTAAATACTAAACTATATTTGAACTTTAAATTTAAGGTAAACTAATACTGTCTTCTTAAACAAAAATGACATTCAAAATCTCATGCAATACTCTCATTTAAAAGAGGTATGTAATGTAAATAATTATCAATTACTGTACTGTAATGTACTGTTCTTCACTGCCTAGGTTTTACTAAAAAGGAACCAATGTCATGGCAGAAGCTGTTCCCTAAAACAAGTAAAAAGTCTCTGGACCTCCTCAGCAGAATGCTGGTGATAAACCCTGCAGAACGTATCACAGTGGAGAAGGCATTGTCCCATGGGCTCCTCAATAACTATCACGACCCAGACGATGAACCCATTTGTGTCCCGCCATTTAACTTTGATTTTGAGAAACAAGTGAGATAGATTATTCTTAGAATTTTTGTGAACATTGTTTTCCTAACTTTGTACTTTTATCACTCATATTTTCTAAAGTTTTGTTATAGGTACAATTTATTTATAAACAGCATGATCTGTTGTACGTCTAAGTCCACCCAGCTAGAATGGTTCTTTAACTCACATTAAGAAACAAAAGGACTCTTGTTATAAATACAACTTTGTCCTAAATTCTTAATCTTTTACATCCCTTCAACGCAAATAGTATTGAATTAACATTGGACCATTTTAAAAAAATTTAAAGAAACTACTTTTTTCTACTAAACAAGCCATTGATTTAAAGCTGTCTTCTCCTATTCTAGAACTTGGATAAAACTGAGCTGAGGACTTCAATAATGGAGGAAATCATGAGCTTTCACCAGCCTAAACCCTCACCACTGAGCTTCAGTGCATTCCTTCGGCCTGCGCCTAAAGTTGAAGAGACAAAGAAAAATGAAAAGGCGGAAGATCTCTTTTCTAAAAACTGTGCAATAGTTTCATTATCAGATGCCGACTTAGGTAGAGCTGCTAACATTTTATACCCTTTAGAGTATCCAAAATGGAATCTGCTTATACATCTTTAAGATCACATATGTACACGTTTATGCAAATTTTATATTTGAAAAAGCCTAAATCCTGAATTTCAAATTTTTCAGGAAATATCCTGAAATAAACATGAGTCTAAGCCACACTGCCATTTTTTAAAAGAAAATTTGTATTGTTTCAGGAAAAACTGAAACGAGTGTTTTTAAAATGTCTGGCAATGCGGAGCCCAAGCCAGCTAGTAAAGTGTCACCGGTCTCAGTTGACCTGGGCAAGCTACAGGTGGTGGCGTCCTCGTCTGACGTTGAAATGCTGAGCGCCCAGTCTAACGACGGCAGGTCAATGGACACACACCAGGCCGCCAGCTTAACCTTACACAAGGAGGAGGCCATTCAAGAGGAGAAAGACAAAGGTGTAGGGGAAAAGGAAAAACCTGGACTGGAAAAGAAAACTGGCAGTACTATTTCAGAGGATACTAAGGCTAGAGTGAAGATGGCCTTGATGAACCCCACTCACAGGAAACAGAGAGCAGGTATGCATTTAAAAACTAATTAATTGATAGAATTAATGGACTCTCAGAAGGTGAAATCTCACAAAAGGACCAAAGAGGTTAGTTGTGCTGATGAAGCAGATTTCATCTGTTTCCATGACCATATGAAGGGATAGTGTGGTCAGTACTATGCTCATCCGCCTTTACATTCCCTGATTTGAATCAGGTACCCATCAGAGCTGGGTGGGCTCAGGGACGTCTATTATACTTACAATGCCAACTACACCTAAAAGTAATAAAAATGTTACCATTAAAATATGCAAAAGGCCTTTATATATATTTTTTTTATTAAAGGAAGAAAAAGTTATAAAATGCCATCTTCTATCTTCCAGATGTATCATCAGCAAAAAAAATTTCAAATTTTAATACTTCGTCTTCCCTGAATCTATTTCCTTCAACAGTTTTCATTTTCACTATTTTCCTTATATTTTTAAAATTCATTGTTTAATTATTTGACAGTTTAGCAACCAACACACTTAAATTTTACACAATTATTTATAACATGTTGTATTCCAATAAGGACTTAGTGATTTTATGATGCATATTTTTTAAGAATCCCAAGGGGAAGAGCCAAAAGACACCAAACCTGTGACAGCTGCCCAAAGACAAAAGGAAAGGGAAGAAAAAAGGAGGAAGAAAAAGGAGAGAGCATTGGAGAAAGTTAAAAAATCTAAAGAAAAGAAAGGTAGTTTTCAAGCATTAAGTACTATTTTTTTCTAATGAAAATATTTTCTATTTGATTACTTTGTGTAGTTTGAAATTTATGTGCGACAATTCTTCTAATAAGCAAGTATTTTTTTTTTTTTGCTGTATTTTATTGTTGGATACCATTTTGTTTTCTGCTTTATATCTGTGATCATACTTTTACATTTTGTTCTGAATTTAAAACAGGTTGCCAAGAGCAACCAATCCTGCTGTCTACAGAGGACATGGAACTTCTAAGGAGGTGGACCGTGATGCAAAACCCCAGTCACACCGACACATCAAGTCCACCCCACCCTGGTCCGTCCTTGACCCCGCCACAGAACCCCACCACCATCTCATCCAAGTCATTCTCCAGCAGCTGCTCTGTCCAAGAAACATCTCCAGACACCAGCTCCTCCCTGGAGAAGGCATCAGTAACAACTCTAGCCCAGACCTCCGTCAGCACCTTGTCCAGCACCACCTTAGTCAACCCCTCCGTCTTCATGTCCGGCACGCAGTTAAATCTAGTGCAGGCCAACTTCATCCCGGTCCTGGCCATACCGTCAGTGTCCAACCCAGGGAAGATTGAGATCAAGAGAATCTTCCACTCTTCTGACCTGGGTTCTAAACCTGCCAGCTCCACCAGCCTTGCCCCCAGGAACCAAACATCAGACAGCACCAAAAGCCTGCTACAGAATGCAATCTTAATGAGAGGTAACTCCACGGCGCCGCCTGTCGATACCCAGCCTAAAGCAAGCGCAGTCGACAACAGCTTTATTAACTTGAAAACTCAAACAGACATTAACTTCTCAAAGTACTCCTCCGACATTAAAGACGATCACATGACATCTAATATCTTAACATCAAGCAAATTCGACTCTTCTGTTCTATGTGATAGAAATCTTCTCACCACTCAAGAGGAGCTCAAGGAAGATAAGCTGTCACCTCGTAGCCAAGGAAACGACCTGTTGGACTTCCTGGACCAGCATCTGAAAGATTCCCCAAAACAAGAACTCCTGCATAACTCCCCTTACCACTCATCTGTTCCTGAACAACACGGGTCATTTCCGTTACACGGGTCACACGAGAACTCTCACATCAACACATCGACCCCGCCCGCTTACAACACTTACTCACATGTCCAGAACGATGAACAGATAACGAGGTCAAACTCCACACCAAGTCTGCTCAGACACAACTCCCACACGCCCAGCCTCACCAGTCAGCCCCAGGAGAGGACACAGAGGTCTTCTCTTCCCTTCGCCTCCTACAGCCAACAAACATTCTCAAACTCCTTCCCTAACCAGAACAGCTTCCAGGTGGCCTACGCAGGCAAGTTCAACGAAACCTTCCCCCACCACATCGACACGACAACGCAGTTTTCCGACGGCTACAGCCCCCACGAGAACAGCCCTGCGTTCTCACAGCCTGCCAACCTTCTGAACTACAGCCCGTCTCTACCCCACTCGAACCTTATGTTTCAAATCTCGCCAGATTTCTCCTGCCAGCCCAACCCACAGCACATTTTCAGAGCCGCAGACACGTTTGGTGGGTACCCAAGCTACACAGACACAGCCCCTGCCACTCAGCTTAACCAGTTCCAGGGCTTTAACCCTACACAGGCCAGTGTTGAAAGAAATCAAGGCTTTAACCCTCAACAGGCTGGTATAGAAGGAAATATATACCAGGCTAGCAGCAGCTATAGTAGAACATCTGAGGACTTACAGCAAACTAAACCCGCTCACTCATTGGTTTCTTCAGGCAGTGACCAGTCCTTTAACTCACCTCTGTTACACCGCAACCAGAACCTGGGTCAACAGCCCAGGGCTGGAGCTTCAGGTAAGACATGATACCTGTCTTTGTCAGGTTGGATAGAATGTTGTAACAGCAACCATTGAATATCAGCATCTAAAGAGTTAAGTTGTGTCTGACATATCTTGAAATATACTGGTACAAACAGTTTTTAAATATATAAATGATATATTTTCTTAACCTCTGGAATTTAAGAATTTTTTTTTGTAACTCAAGAAAATATGTATAAAATTATCTTTTGTGTTAGATAGTTATTTAAATTTCTGTGAAGGTTTTTGTTTAAGCTTAGATTAAGGATTATATTGAGGCCTAGTTTAAACTCAAGAAAAATATGTATAAAATTATCTTTTGTGTTAGAGGTTTATTTAAATTTCTTTAATGGTTTTTTTGTGTGCTTAGATTAAAGTTATTATTAAGGATTATATTGAGGTCTAGTTAAAACTTTTGTAGAGGTTTAGGTTAGTTAGTAGGTTTGTGTAGAGGTTAGGTTAGTCAGTAGGTTTATGTAGAGGTTTAGGTTAATAGGTAGGTTTGTGTAGAGGTTTAGGTGCAGTCGATAGGTTTGTGTAGAGGTCTAAGTGCAGTCGATAGGTTTGTGTAGAGGTCTAAGTTAGCCTGCAGCTTTGTTTGAAAACACTTGAGCTGATCATTTCCCCCTCCCCCCCCCCCCCCTTTGTCTGCAGGCAACACAGAACAAACCAAGCTGAGGATCAACTGCAGCCACCCAGCCCGGGGTACAGAAAACCCTGCCGACCTGATCGCCCTGCTGAGCAGCAAGCTGTCCCGATCCCAGGTGGCTGATATCTTCCCGCCTGCGCTGACCTTGACCCCCAAAGGTACAGGGGCGGGCTACGGTGTGGGCATGGACCTGGACCACATGTTGACAGACGCTCAGGAAATGGCATGGTAAACTTATTTTAAACCCTGTCCTTCTTGATTTAAATCAGCTCAAGAAATGGCATGGTAAACTTATTTTAAACCCTGTCCTTCTTGATTTAAATCAGCTCAAGAAATGGCATGGTAAACTTATTTTAAACCCTGTCCCTCTTGATTTAAATCAGCTCAAGAAATGGCATGGTAAACTTATTTTAAACCCTGTCCCTCTTGATTTAAATCAGCTCAAGAAATGGCATGGTAAACTTATTTTAAACCATGTCCCTCTTGATTTGAATCAGCTCAAGAAATAGCATGATAAACTTATTTTAAACCCTGTCCCTCTTGATTTAAATCAGCTCAAGAAATGGCATGGTAAACTTATTTTAAACCCTGTCCCTCTTGATTTAAATCAGCTCAAGAAATGGCATGGTAAACTTATTTTAAACCCTGTCCCTCTTGATTTAAATCAGCTCAAGAAATGGCATGGTAAACTTATTTTAAACCCTGTCCCTCTTGATTTAAATCAGCTCAAGAAATGGCATGGTAAACTTATTTTAAACCATGTCCCTCTTGATTTGAATCAGCTCAAGAAATAGCATGATAAACTTATTTTAAACCCTGTCCCTCTTGATTTAAATCAGCTCAAGAAATGGCATGGTAAACTTATTTTAAACCCTGTCCCTCTTGATTTAAATCAGCTCAAGAAATGGCATGGTAAACTTATTTTAAACCCTGTCCCTCTTGATTTAAATCAGCTCAAGAAATGGCATGGTAAACTTATTTTAAACCCTGTCCCTCTTCATCTGATTTAAATGAGTGCTGTGAGTCCCTATTTTACAAGGCAGAATCAGGGAGAAAGAGGTGATAACTCAGCAGGGGAGGGGTGTGACATTGAAAGGAATAGCTGCCATGGTTTTTTTCAAAGATACAAATCATTGTCATGGTGCTGTTGTTTTAATTTATTTTACTTAATAATATAATGAGGCACAACATGGACAACATTCAAAAGAAAAATTTGAAAATTGAAATTTTTTAAAAATTTATTATATGTGCTTTTCAATTTGGAATGCATGCACACATACACATTTACATATTTGAGATAACATAACCTCCCTTGGGTCACAGTATTATTAAGGCTATAAATTCAACCATAAATTCAACCAAGATAATCAGTTTTCTAATAGATAGGGATTGTTACTTGTAAAAATGCCAGTGATTCTTTTGTTAATACCCCAACCCTCTCTCACAGCTACACAGGCAGAAAAAAATCTCACTACCATTCTCTCTTGCGCATAATACATTTTTACAAAAACCAGTTTGATCACTTACAGATCATTTTATTTAACTAACACAATTTTTTTTAAAGTTATTTTTATTATGTTTTCATTCCAGCATACGACCAGACCAAAGCCCCCTGTCTTCATCTCTTCTTGCTGATTGGCTGGATATCAGCGGGAACATCAGCCAAGCTGACCTGGAAGCACTCGAGCGTGACTTTATTTTACAGAGCCCTATGCACGTTAGCTACAGTGATATAAACTTGTGATATTTTTTTCAACCTTTTCCTGTCTACTTGTTTTCTTTTGACTGCAAAATATAGACCCATCTCACTGGGCTTTCAAACTCTTTAACAGAATTTCTTTCTTGAAATTAATGTAAACTCTACAGCTTCTTTCATATACACAAAATATATTTATTTACATGTTACTGAAAAGTTTTTGTAAGGTATATTGTAAATCAAAAGATAAGTCAGTCTAAACTGTTTTTCATTCAAGAAATAACTTTCATGCAACCATTTGTTCTTAAAGCTAAGTTTATAAGCACTGTTAAGTTTCTTCAAAGGGTATCTGTAAAATACCATGTAACAAGATTGGTATAAACAATGTTTGTTGATGTTGATAATGCTGCATCAGTACAATAAGAGTGAATTGTTGTGTTGTTGTTGAGATAGTTGATTAAATTAAATAAATGTTGACTACAGATATATGATGACCTTCCCTAACTGCAGTAGGGTCTGAACAGTTGATGGACAATCATTAATCTAATCACACTAGCTTCATCAGAAGTAGAGTTCATCTGTTTCAATGACCGTGGTGTGATAATGCGGTCAGCACTATACTCACTGCCTTCCCTGACATGAGTCAGGTACCAATTATAACTGGGTAGACTCAGGGACTTTCTACAGACCTGAGCCCGGGATCTGAACTCTAGACTTTTGGTTAGTACTCGTAAGCTCTACCGTATGACCATGCCGTCCCTAAACAGCTACTTACATTCCATAAAAAGGGTAAACAAGCCTGTTTAATATACTCACAAAACTAAACTATGCAGATGTGACATAATCCTCTAAAATTTAGTGTTGTGTCACAACTTCAAAACAACAATTCCATCTCTTATACCCTAACATCCCTCAACCAAACACCATCAACACCTCCAGACTACCCCTGCTGTAAAAAAAAACTAAAACTAAGAGAACTTCTTTGACAGATATTTTCATGTGTTGATAACAATGGACAATCTAATTGAAGAAATATATGTTTATCGGTGACTTAAGGACATTTTTCTAAATGAATTGTAAAAAAAATAATTATTTTCATGTTATAAACAAAGTTTAAACAATTACATTTTTAATTTCTTGCTGTAAAATTATTTTAAAATGTTTGACTTTGGTAGTTATTTGAATGTTTTGAAGTCAAGTCAGCCATACATCAGTGCCATTATATTTGTTGACTGTGATTAGACACCTGTTTTTTTTTAAGTTAGTCATTATACATTAATTATGTATATTTTAAAATTTTAATGAACAACTGTAATGAAGCTTAAACTGCCAGTATTTGAACAATTTCTTTTTTTATTTTAATTCATGTTAACATTTATAGCCAGCTTGTTACAATGTTAGTTATAGAATGAATGCATTTTGTAGGTCAAGTAGAGTAGAACAGCGTTGATGCCATACATGGACATACAGACAATACACACATCTTTCAGCACAACAAAGAGAATAAAAGCCAAGTACACACACCCCAACACACTGACTATAGAACCATAGTATAGGATAGTGGCAGCCATTGGTGATGGGAGAAATACACCTGTGGAAATTTTTTTAAAAACATTTTTAGTCCTTTTCTTACATTTCATCTACACTTAAATTTTTTATTTTTATAAATTGATTTTAGTTTGTTTTAAGCTACTATTATCTTAAGATTTTTTTATACACTTCATTTATACTCAAATTTTCATTTTTGATTATTATACATTGATTTTAGTTTGTCTTGGGTTTATATTATCTTACAGATTAAAAAGATTTGAATTCATGCATGATTAATTTTTGCAAATATATTTTTAAATAAATGGTTTATTCATGAAAGTGTGTTATGAACAGTGTACAAAAGGGGGCCAAAATCTATTTAATTATATAGCATTTATATCTGTGATGTCAACTTATTAACAATTGTTTTTTTTTTTTAATTTAAGTTTTGCATAATGACATGATGCACTGGTGCTGTGTGAAAAAATTATGTAAATGAGTAAAAATTGAGAAAAGTTACTCACACAATAAAATGTTGATGATGTAAATAACGAGTCCGATGTTGCAGTTCCTAGAGTTGAGCATATGGTTTTCACCAAACAGCAAGTGCATCACCCCAAATCCCTGGCTGTACCTAGAGCACAAACCACATAAGCAAATGACTGACTTGGTTATTTCCCACAGAAATGTGATACACTTGGTCATCATACCCCCCCCCCCCCCCTTTTTCCATATCTAAAGCTTTTCTTGGTCATTCTAGTACTTAACAGTAACACATGGCTCAGTTGATTTCCATAAGCCTATAGTGCCAAATGACTCACTTGGTCATTTCCCATCCCACATTGACAAAATACATTACTGTAACAAATGACTTATTTGGTTATTTCTTTAATTCCCCTCCTAATACCACCATTTACATATGACTCACCCCCCCCCTCCCTCAAGTAACAAAAAAACTAATTAGGACATTCCCCTAACCCCACATAAACAAGTTACTTACGTTTTCTCATACCTCATAGTAAGAAATTAGTCAATTGGCTTTTGCCTTAACCCCCCAAACCCCATGTAAAAGGTACATGGTCCAGTTGCATTGTTTTATTTGGTCATTTCTCCCCCCCCCCTCTTAACAGTCTACTGAATGGCTCTACAGTACCAAAATGACTCCCTTGGCGACTTGATCATTCCCTTCCCCCCCCCCCCCCCCCCCACAGTACCAAATGACTCTCCTTTCTCCCCCACTCCCCACAGTACCAAATGACTCACTCCCCCCCCCCCCCCCCCCCCCAACAATACCAAAAGAACTCACTTGGAGGTGAGTACACGCGAACAGCTCATGTGCTCGCTCAAGTCGCACGCCGCCCTGTAGCTGGGGTCTCTCTCCTTGTTGACCTCCACGTGCAGGGCGTACAGGCACGTGACCACGCCCAGCACGTTGAAGAAGACGATGTCCGTCAGGTTTGACCACAGGATGTACGCAGGCTCTCCGTGCGAGTCCATCACGTGACCTCTGACCTACACACGACCCGACCTCTGGCTAGACTGAAAATGATATAATTTCTATGAAAATTTCAATATAACAATATATATTAAGTCAAATAGTTTTTTAAGTTTAATTTTGTTCATGGAAAAAGTCACCTGTATCAGACGATAACAGAGTTATCTGCGCCGATTAAAATTCAGTAGGTCAGCGCAACGATACAAAGTTATGACGTATGCTGTAGGGGAGATAACACTGATGAAACAGACGACTGCTTAAGTTATTTTTTCAAGCATTTTATTACTATGTAGGCCTGTTACTAATACGGGGACTGCATATAGCGCTAGGCTGCTAACCAGAAAGTCTCGAGTTCGGATCCCAGTCTGGATGACATCCCTGAGTCCACCGAGCTCTGATGGGTTTCTAACTCACGTTAGGGAAACAAAGGAGGCTGGGCATAGTGCTGACTACACTATCACCTTGTATGTTAAGGTCGATTGAAACAGATGAACTCTACTACATCTTCCCCGTGTGTTTTTAGGCACGGAACGGGAAAAGATGATTACTAATACACCATAACGTAGGCGGGTGTGGCATTTGAGGATGCAAAATCCTGTGTACGTCACTGAGAATATACTATAAAAGAAGAAATGGCCAGCGGCAGTAGAGTAGTGGTCACACAATCTTGCAACTAGCATTTCAAAACAGGCCCTCACATGGGTGCCCCAAAACAAGCAAAAACGCAGTAAAAAAAATAAATCTTTACTAGACGTGACCTGAGGTTGGCATAAGAAAGCAGAGTTTCTTCCAGGCGTCTCTTCGGGGAAGAAAGTCTCCCCCCCCCCCACCCCAACGAAATGGAATTTATATAGAAAATGTATACTTTTAACAGTGACCGCCCCCCCCCCCCCGGGAAAATTGTGTCCGCCCCCCTCCTGAAAATTTCAAGTGCCCCCCCCCCCCCCCCCCGGAGAAAAAAGTCTGGAGGGGAGGCGGAGGTATACGTGCTTAGGGATGGGGACGCTACCAACCCTACCCCCTTCATCCTCCGTTACAATGCTAAGCTCGTAAAATCCCAATTTTTCTTTTGCAAATTCGCCATGTTTCCAGTGTTTATTTCAGACATTTTCTGGCGACGGCACTATGAAATTTCGGGGGCGGGGAGAAAACTGGTTAGTGGGGGGGGGGGGGAGAGAAAACTGGTTAAGTAGGCTGTATACCTACTTTCTTTAAAAATGGCATACTTTATATATTTTGAAGTCTTTTCGACTATTCGCAAATAGGAATTTAATGCAAATAGATCTACATGTAATTAAAAATGTAAAACATTAAACAAACGCTGGTTAGTGGTAAAGTTACTAAAGTAGTAGTTAGTTAATCTACTATAAGACTTACTTACCAAAATTGTTTTTTTAAATATTGCTTGAATAAATTATCCCTGGTTTCAAGAGAAAAAAAAATATGCCCGCCGTTTTTTAAAACGTATCATAGATTCAAAACCGTTTTGAAATTGGAACTGGTAGAATCGTTCATCTTAGGCTAATCCGAAACATAAAGCGCGAGAGTGAGAGAGAAGTGGTGTTTAGAAACGCCAGCGTGCATTGTGGGAATCCCCAAACTACGCGCGCTTGAGCAACAGGCTACTCTCTCTCTCCCTCTCTTCTTCCTACTCTGTCGTTCTTTCGTTTCTCTTCTGGCATCAGTTCGTCCTGCGCATTTTCTGTCGTATCCATTTACAAATTGAAAATCATAAAAAAAATTTAAACAATTGGTTCGATAAATAAATTAGTTTGTTACTATAAATAGCTTACCTTTATTTTTAGGCCTTCTCGTATTGATTTTGTAGAATGTGTATAGACGTTTAAATCTCCATCTGGTAAATTCTAGTACGGACGTGCTTCCCTCCCCTACACTGTCACTTTGTTTGGAAGCTTCCGTTTCTAGCAACGTGGTGAAACTTCACTGGTAGGCTTTAGAGGATATAAATAAACCAACGTGGGCGGGAAAACCCCTCGAGGAAGGTATCGACTACTTTCGGAAATCGTAAAATAAAATCGTTTTCTGTCTACTAAATCTTCATCAAGATTGAATATACTCATTCCTTCAACTCCGTTGACTTCATGTATAAATTTAATCAGTAAACTAACAATTATAGGTCTACGCAATTATAAAACACGTGGGTTTAGTGGTCTTGCACAGCGTTTTCAATGGAAGGGATTGACACACACCCCATTCCCCCCACCTGTAATGGTGTCCTGGTGTTGGCATAGTGGTGTTGTCGTGCGTGGTAACTGTTTCGTAGTGATGGTGTGCGTTGGTGGTGGTGTCATTATGATGGTGTCTTCACGGCAGTTGAGCACAGTGTAGAGATTAAGCAAAGTTCCTTCCTTGTAGGAACTGGCTTTGGTTCCTCAAGGGGGTGGGGGTTCGTTGTTAGTGCAGGAGTATTACACCACATGTGTAGGGGTCTGTTAATGCGAGCGTAGGGGTCTTTTACTATTATTTTAGTGGTATCGCCATTTTAACATGGGTTCAGTGGTCTTGAACAGAGTTTCCCTCAGGCATCTCTTCGGGGGGGAGGGTGGCAGAGCCCTTCCGAAAGTCTACCGCCCCCCAGAGGCGTAGCGAGGGGGGGGGGGGGCGGGGATGCATATGTCCCGGGGGCGCCGACCTTAGGGGGCGCCAAAATGGGTTGTAAAAACAAATTAAAATCTCGTTTTAGCTGCAGTTTTGCATTATAAATATATCAAATATATGGGAGGGGGGGGGTGCAAATTGAAAGGTCCCGGGCGCCGGGAAGGGTCGCTACTCTTTATTTTTTATGATCAGTAAACCTTATGGACCGGAGTGTTGAATAAATCGTAGGTTGTTTGGCAATATTTCAGGTTTTAAATGTAATATAAGTGCTGAATTCCATTTCCTTGTTGTCCATAGCAACATGAAACATTCCACGGTTACCATAATTCTACTTCCGTCTTGAACTGTGTGATCTCTGTGACTTACCGGCTGAGTTCAAATAATCTCTTCGTGCTGAGCGCCCCTAGCGGGATGTGACCTACCGTCACTCCGGGTCACTCGGGGTCACCCAGGGTCATGGTAGGTCACGGTGGTGTCACCAGAAATGTAAATAGAAAGAAACGCTTCGGGTGTTATCGATTTGCCGTACCATACATTAGTTGATGACGGTGCTGAAACTAGGCGATAGCAGTGTCTCTTTCAGGCTTCTCTTCCGAGAGAGAGGGGGGGGTCGCCACCCACCCCAGAAAGAAATATAATTAATATACAAAATATATACTTCAACACCCTCCCCGGGAGAAAAATATACGAAAGAAACACTGCAAGGCACTCGATCAGTCGTACTATATATTGTTGATAACGATACTGTATATAGGCACTAGACTATCTTTTTTTTATTCAGAATGACAATTTATAAAGCTAGATTCATAGATCAAATTATTGTCGTTAAACTATTTTAGGAGCATCCATGAAATGTGTATTTAACTTCAGTTGTTGTAAAAAGTATTAACTACGTTAGAAAAAAAAATGTAACGTTTGATGCAGTGGCTGATTAGCTTTAGATTGAGCTGTGCCACTTGCAGAAAATTATCAATTTTTATTTTGTCATAATTACAAAACAATATATTCGGGATATTAAAGATCGAGAACTCTTGCTTAACTCCCCCCCCCTATCCACAACCACACACACACACTCACACGTAATCCGCTTAGATTAATCCGCTTCAAGCTGTTAGACCCAGGCTATGGTTGTTTTTTTGTGTACGTTACCAAAGGGTGTAGAGCACTCGACTACTAACCCGTTTTTGAGTCCAACCAGTCTTAATGGGTACCAGACTCACGTAAATACGGCTTATTTCATTTACGTAAGACCCTTAGGGCGATATATTAAGTTTGTATTTGGGGATAATATATTATTATAACATATTAGCACAATAGGTAGGAAAAGTGGTTCCAAATGGTTCCGTGTGTTATATGTGGGTATGACAAATCAACAAGGGGTCATCCATAAATGACGTCACGCTTTTTTGACGATTTTTACCTTCCCCCCTCCCCTTCGTTACACGTCGTCACAAAAAGTCAGACCCCCCCCCCTAAAATGACGTCACACCTCAGCCTACAACCCCCCCCCCCCCTCTCAAAATTGCAGTTGAAATTTTCTTAAAACATCGATATTTTTCCAAAATCTTGTCAGAACTCTGTCAACATAGAGTGTTTTGATAAATTCCTTTTACCATTTATTAAAACGTTTTCTAAAACGCAAAATAACTGCTAAAATTCGTTATCTAACATTGCTTTTTTATAATGCAAAAAAGTGACGTCACACCATCTGAACCCCTTCCCCCTCCCCCTCATCACACACCGTCACAAAATTACGGATGCCCCTTCCCCCCCCCCCCCCCTTTATGAGCGTGACGTCATTTATGGACGACCCCCCCAAGTTGCACTTCAGCTGTAGCAGGAGTTTATGCGATACATGTCGAGATTGACAAGTTAATTAGTATTTTAAAAATCTAATTATTGCCTCAATTAGCTACCACAACAAAATATTATAGATTTGTGTGCTTTTAAATAACACCATACCTTAACCCATATCAATCAGTTACAATAGAAATAATTTGCGTTAGTATGCTCAAAACATATTATACTTAAAAACTATAATCTATATATATAATTCTCTTCTTGGAGACGTTAGAAAACAAGCTGTAAGCGCGCCTAGCAGCCCCCTCTCTTCCTCTCTAGGCATATCGCAACCTCCCCCACCCCCATATGGTCTGGTGAGCTGTGGTTTACGCTAAATGTTTACAATCGTACAGCCGGGTTTAGTGACGCCTATTAGGGGCAGATAGTTTAGTTTGAAACTTTTTTTAAAATATAGGGGAGGTAACTAAGAGGAGGCTGCTTTCACGGGGTGGGGGTGGGTGTAGTGTAGGGGTTGGGGTTGGGTGGAAGGAGGGTGGGGGGGTATCGTCCTTAACAGCCTAATGATAGTGTTTTAAAGCAAATATTTTCAGTGGCAGCGTTGATACTGTCGAATTCACACATTATGAATGACTGAAAAGGAGAAAATAAAACAACTAAATATCGGCGTATGATACGCCGCGGTCCGACTCGTTGGTTAAAAACTAGCTAATGATATCAAACTTTTTAACCGCCCTATTCTGTTTTTTTTTCTTCTAAAATTAGAATAACGTGATAAAATTTGAAGATCAATTCACAGACTTGATAAAAAAAAAATATTTTTTTCTGTCCACGCCAACGGCACAAATTTGTAATTAATTAAGCAGGTTTAGTTTTTTTTTTTTTTTTTTTTTTTGCTGCAGAATATTTGTGTCGTGAGAGCTGATAAAATATTTGAGTCACCCTGACCTAGAAGCAGTGCCAACCCGCCCCGTGGTTGGTGGAGCTGCCATTGAAGGGGGGGGTCATTGTGTGACTGTGGGGTGGATATGCCATTGCGTGTGTGCGCGTGTGTGTTAACACAATTGAACCGCCCCCTCCCTTTACGACAAATATCCCGACGAGGCAATTGGTCCGCGGCGTATTCCAAATTGTATTAAGTATGTTAATGTACAGAACAGAATAGCTAACCAGAGGCGTAGCGATGGGGGGCAGGGGGGACATATCCGGGCGCCGACCTAAGGGGGCGCCAAAATGGGTTGGAAAAAGTAATCGAAAGTTTGAGGGGGGTGCAAATTAAAAGTTTGAGGGGGGTGCAAATCGAAAGTTTGAGGAGGGGGGTTGCAAATCGAAAGTTTGTCACCGGGCGCCAGGAATGGTCGCTACGCCTCTGTAGCTAACCTTTTGATGTATCTCAGCTGAGTACTATGCCGTAGGCTACCGCGTTGATTAGTGAAAATCATATTTCCCCCCCCCCCCCTCCCCACCACTCTGACGCAACGCTCCACCCATGATATAGGCCAGGGGTTCCCAACCTTTTTTTTTACTCTAGAGCACATCCTAAAATATCGGTAGGGTGGCGGGCACCACCTATTTTAAATCGACAAACTCCTTCCAGAGGCGTAGCGACCCTTCCCGTCACCCGGGGACAAAACTTTCGATTTGCACTCCCCCCTCAAACTTTGGATTTGCACCCCCCTTTCCCCCCCCCCCCCCCCCGCCCTCAAACTTTTGATTTCCATTCCCTGCAACCTTTCAATAATGTTTATGAAAAAAAAATCTGTCTCTGTCGAATAGTGAGAGGCGGGCACACACGAATCGTTCGGCGGGCGCCATGGCGCCCGCGGGCAGAGGGTTGGGGACCCCTGATATAGGCCTACTGTTATAAACCCATCTATTATACACATACAGAGGCGTAGCGAGGGGGGCGGGGGTGCGGACCGCACCGGGTGACATCATTTAGGGGGGTGACACCAAGACAAAAAATAGCAAAATATATAGAGAAAAATTTTAAGGGGGGGTGCAAATCGAAAGTTTGAGGGGGGTGACACCATTAAGTGCCGCACCGGGTGACACCCGACCTCGTTACGCCACTGTACACATAAATAATGACCGCCACACAACCCATTGTAACACACATATAAACCACCACCCGCGGTATTCAATTAAAAGCTCCTTAGTCCCTCTCCCCTCCCCACCCGCTCACCACCGCTAGATACATTTCGTTAAAGGCTTCTCAGCTTCTGTGAGCGAGAAATGAAATGGATATATACATTATTTATTTGGGTTACCCCCATACCAAACCTCCAAAACTTTTATTGAACATCAGCTGGGCATATCCACAGATGGGCATATCAACGCTGGTCATATCCACGCTGGGCATAGTCCACAGATGGGCATATCCACGCTGTTTGTTCAATTTATTAAAAGCCGGGCCTTGAAGTCTACTGGCTGGTTTTTAGCCAGACGTTTCCGCTAATAAGCCCATTTCCAGAATTATAATATAATGGGGTAGAGAA